CCGCCGCGGAAGGACCGAGGGGTTTCTCTTCGCTGTGGGGATTTGCGGCGCTGGTTGTGGGGTCGGACCTGTTCTGAGTGTTGCGGGCAGCTCCAGGGTCCTCAGCAGAGTCTTGTCTGCTGTCTCCTGGGCCCCGCTCCTTGTTTCCGCGGGTGTGCTCGCGTGTGCCCGGGCTGGTTTCTGCAGAGCGCTGCTTCTGTTAACCCCCCTTTGACTGCAGGAAACTTGACAGGTTTTAACTGTAAACGTTCACGTAAGAACTCCCCTTTGCTGTAAAACCTCACCCAAGAAATAGCCGCTGAGCATTGGACAGTGTTCAGCACGTTCTGGAAAAGCCATACAGGAGAAAACACGGTCACTGGGTGCAACAGATCAGAAGCACAGCTGATTACTTTTTATCCTGTAGGCAATTTTTGGGTGTGAAGGATGGACTTGTCAGTGATTGCTGTTGGAGATGTACGAAATGTGCTCTCAGCTATGCAGAAGAACTTGGAGTGCCCGATATGGTATGCCAGGAGAATAATGTGAACTCTGTATTATATAGTTAATGACTCTTCTCTGTCTTTCTTTTCAAATGCCATGTCCATACTACATGTTATCAAAAATAATTGTCTTTTAAGGCTAAGTATATTGGTGTTTTGTAAGGGTCGGACGTTAGTGTTCTAACACCAAGTTTTGAACTGGCATTTCCAGAAAATGCTGTCTTTGCTAGAGGCAGACAAAGATTGTGAAGAGATAGTAGATATGTATATATCACATAATGACAGTATTTGTTACTGTACCTTGTTCTCAAATGAAAAATTGTCAAATGTGTCCTACTTTAATTCCTCATCAAGATTTTTTTTTAAAGTTCAGAAAAGTTACTGTATTTCCAAATCTTATTTTATTGCTCCTATTTTATATGTCACTTCTGTGTTCTTGTTTTTCTTCGTATTTCTTTTTGTAGTTTGGATGTGGTAGAAGAGCCAGTTTCAACAAAATGTGATCACATATTCTGCAGGTAGGTTTGAAAGCTTGTAATTGCACAACTCAGTCAATCTGTCCTTATTCTCCATATATACTTCTTTTCTGTAGTGCTAATGATGTCTACAGTGTTTTGTTAACTTAATATGAAGCTTTTTTAGGGGAAAAATCAATTCTGAATAAGAAATAACTGCAGTTTCACAGATGTGTCAAAGGGGATTGATTAATTCATTGTAACACTAGAACAAGAATACAGGCATTCAACTTGATAATGAAGGTTTTCTACTAAGTGGTGCACATCTAGACTCACTTCTAAAGAAAATAACATCCTCTGTTTTGTTACCGTTGTGATTATTCTTTTTTTTCTAGGTTCTGTATGTTCAAACTCCTCAGCAGAAAGAAAAAAGGTGTGGTACAGTGTCCTCTCTGTAAGACTGAAGTTACCAAGAGGTAATGCATCTTTGCAAGTGGGCTTGAGGAAAAGTTTGAACTCTAAGGAAAAGTTAATAATTGTCTTAAAAATATCTTAGCAGAAGACTGAAATAAACAGAAAAAGGTGGTTAAGTAAATGGCAATTTCTAAAGGAGTGACTTTTTAGTGCCTTACCTCAATATAAACTTTCAAGTGATAGCAGGTGAAGGCACCATTCTTAGCAAATGTTTGTGCTATCCAGCATGTATTATCCTTGAGTCATAACAACTAAGTTTCTCTGTGCTAAACCTATGTGAGGAAAAATGCGTAACTTTCACTTTGTGATAGTTTCAGTTCCTGTAGTAATGGTTGTTTTGAGAAACTGTTATTACTTGGCAACAACTTCTTGTTTTCTCATCTTCCACTTTGGAGTTCTAGTCTTTTTTTTTGTTCAGCCTAAATTCTAGAACTATTAATAGTTAACCCCTACATTTGTCTTAAAACAACTTGTGTGGTGATGTTATTTCAGAAGTCTGAAAGAAAATTTCAGATTTAAGCAACTAATTGAAGGATTGTTGGAAACTATCCATGCATTTGAGCTTGACACTGGAGTAAAATGTAAGTGTTATGAATGTGTATGCCCGACTATTTTTTAAATAAGATTTTGGTATTTGTATCATAATTATTTGCAGGGTATCTCATTTACTGTGCAGTACTCAGTATGGGAGGAATTATCAAAAGTTTCTTCTTGGATGTCGAAGCATAAGTTCCATTAAGCTCCCAAGGTTTTCCTTAGTATATTGTGCTATAAAAACTGGACTTTCTTTTCAAATTCTTTTCAACTTGTTCAGTCATTCTAAAATCACTAGCATTAGATCCTGTGCTTGCTGGATTATCTATATAAGCAAAACTGGTTGTGAAAATCATTTGGCAAGATCAAGATTTTGCTTAATACTTGAAGTACTCATAAAGAATGATCAGGCTAATAATTCAAGGAGATTTCTTTGATAATTGTGTTTTAGCTGTATATGTGCTAGTTGCATACAGTCTATGCAAGGCTATTTTATTGATATATGATACCTGTTGTCATGCTCAGTGTAAGAAAATATTTTTGCCTTTTTTCCCTGTTGACATTTTTCAGTTTTAAACAGTCATCACTTTCCTAAAACATCCACAGAAGCTCCTGCTGCAGAGTTCCTGTGTAAAGAAGGTTCTGTCATCCAGAGTAAGGGCTTCAGAAACAGGAAAAAAAGTGCTAAAGAAAATGGACAAGAAAACTGCACCTTGGTATTTTTTCCCAGTTTATTTTTGTGGATTGTTTAGTGTTTTATTTGGAATGTGTATACATGCATATACATAAATGAGTGGAATAGGAGATTTTGGGTTGCTTTCAGATCACTGTTTGACTTGAATATTATTCCAGACAAGGACATCTAAATATTTTTGTCTTCCTAATGTACTTTAAAAAGTTGTTTGCATAAAAATACCTGAACTTAAAAGGAAAGCTTTTTCCTACTTCTGGCTTAATGAAGCTGTCTAACTATTAGTTGGCTTTTTACTTTTTTGTAGTAAGACCATGAATATGTCTTAAGAATTCCTAAGACGTTACCCCGCTGAGGGTGATTGCTGTGTGTATGAGTTTGTTCTTGGTAAATTGTTTCTTGGCTCATCTGCTTGGTGCTGAATAGAAAGTTAAGTAAGATAAAACTGTTAATGATTTGAGCTGTTAAATGCATGATAATTGTTTCTGTTAACACATTCCATTACTGATATCAGTATGATAAATTACACATACTGGATTTTTGTAGAGAGGCTGCCAGTTTAGATACTTAGTTCATTTTTATCAGCCCCTTCTGCTGTAGTTCAAATAATTACTACTTATTTTTTGGAAAGAACCTACTGTTATAACAATTCCTTTCTATTCTCCTGTTTTTTTTGGAAGCTAATGTGGATACACAGGTTACGGATACCAGGGTCAAAAGATGTCCCCTAAGAACCAAAACCCAGAAATGTGGCTCCAAAAAAGGGATTTATATAGAGTTTGGTAAGATACATAACCTCGACTAGTGTCAATCTACAACGTATAATGCTTGCAGAGTAATAAAAGGTGGTGAAGTTCCAAGTCTTTATAAACGCTAATTTCTCCTGAACACCCAAAATGAGAACAAAGGAACAAATTATGGATAATTCAAAGCTGATAAATCAAAGGGGTTTTTATATAATTTATTATGTTGTAGGAAATAACACTGCTGTGGTAAACCTGTAGGGCTCAGTGTACAAGATCAAAAGAAAAGATGCTTACAGATGTGAAAAAAAGTTATAGTTGTAATAACTAATGAAAACTACCGTTTTCTAAAGAATATTAATTTTTGTCGTCAGTGCTTGAAGCTCTAGTTAATAACCAGAGATAAGAATTAAATCTAATTGAGGAAAGAACATTTCATTTCTGTCTATCCTAACTTTTTAGAAGTTCCTTTTCATGTGAGAAACAAGATAGATGCTGTGCAGAGTTTATTTTGTTCCTTCAAGGAAGGAATTGCTCCTTTTAACAGATAGTGTTCGTTGCCTCTCTTTTTTTCCTTATGCCTCTGCCAAGATCAATTGAAGGATCTGAGACATAGTTGGATATATTGCTCTGACTTCCAGTTCAAAATTCTAAATACCGCAGCTGTTTCATGTATAAATTTAGAAATTAGAAACTAACTCTTGGCTAATTAACTCTTAATAGCTCTCTGTTACCAGTCACTGTATTTAAACAGAATTTTATGTTGGAGCTGTGTAGATATTTATACATGGAAATATTAATTAGGTAAATTACTGCACAGCTGAACTTGATTTAATCTGATAAAAGTTGAAAGTATCTACCTCTGGAAAGAACTGAAGATGCATGATAATAAACACTGAATCTGGCAAGTTATCTTTCTCTGAATCATTTCAACCAGAGTAATTGCTGATGTGTTTTTTAGGCTCCGATTCATCTGAAGAGCTTTTTAAACAGGAAAGCAATACTGGGTAAGTAAAGGTGATTAAGGAATTCATGGTTCAGTATTCTCATTCCTATGTTTTAGTTTCTTAGCATAGGACTGAGAGAATTCTTCGAGCAGATAAGTGATTTTCAACTTCGGGGGCATCAGGGTAGCATGTGTAGCTGACTCCCATCAGTTTGTCATATAATGTACTTTAAAGCTGTTTTCTAAATGTTTTTGTTGCTTACACAGACATTAGATATTCAAGAGAAAAGCACATACTATGCTTCAGGAAGTAAATGTTAAATTCAGGAATGTGCGAGAGGATCTTTTAAATAAATGGTTTGAAACTCTGAGGGGATCTAGTTGTGGCGAGTGTCAGTCATGCAGCCTGAATTCTCCAAAAACTATTTCAGAGACCAAAAAAGGGAAGTTAGATATCATCTTCTATTATGTCTATTGTGGTTTTTTTCTGTAATAAAAGTAGATTTTTCCTTCTCAGCAGGTTAGACAAAGATGCACTTCAGATTTCATCTAAAGAAAAGCTAGAAGAATTTCAGAGTGCTGGGAAGGGGAGTGAATATTCTGGCAATACACAGCCTGACAAGCTGGGTGCTAAAGAAGTAACTCTATCAAATGTCATAGGTGTGTTTGTTATTTTGGTGACAATAATGATTAAGCTTGAAAGAAAGATAAGTCAGTGTTTTGATTTCACATGGTTAAATACATATACTTGCAGTCTTGTATATTGTAGTTTTGCTGATGCCTACAGCTAGGCACCATGAGTACAAGACTACCTCTAGGCTAGATACTTAAAATGTGGATATTCTGTGCACAAGAACAGAAGGGAAAGTAACTTGATCAAAATGCAAAACTTATTGTATTCTACATAAGCCGTATTATCCCTTATAATACAAGCTGAGAGCACTGCCTGGAAATTCCTGTAAGAATTTGGAATGAAGAAGTTGGATGAACATATATCATATGTCATTTGATCTTTCTCCCTTTCTCTAGAGGGAGATTTGTGCAGTGTGATACTCTATTTTGGGGGAAAATAAGAACAGTTCTTTTAAAACAAAGTAACCATTAAGCTTGTCATTGTTCTCGTGTGTGTAAAATAGGGCTTAATAATTTATAATACCTATAAATCTACAGGTGAAAGTGATTTATCGAAGGAAGGCTTGAGCAAGAAACGCACTTGGAACATCGCTGAATATGCTGAACCTGGCCAAGTGAATGCGACTGAATACCAGAGTTCTCCCTCAAATGTTCTTGCTGTAGACCTCCTCACAGAGCAGTGTGACAGAATAAGTAATGCCAGTCCCTTAAGGAATGGTGGGGATATGTCTTTGTTTAAGAATACAGGAGAAATGGATGCAGAGCAAACTCAGTGCAATAGTAAAAGCAAAAAGTTTGCCTTAAAAGATATCTCAGAGAGCAGGTTGAATGAAAGCAAGGAAATAGATGCTGTTGTACAAAGTGTGGAAGCTGTGGAAATGTATGCACCTGATTATGATTCTTTCCATGAAAAAGAACATCCTCTGGAGAAGCTACTTCAGCCAGAGCCACTTCACTGTGCCACCCTGAATCAAGTCTCTAGGAAGAGACTGAAGCGAAGCATTCAGAAAGTCAATGAATGGTTTTCAAAAAGCAACGATACTGTGTCCTCCAATTCTTCCCAGGATGATTCTGCTGGAGCAACTGATGTTTCAAGTGGAGGAGATACATATTTATCAGATAAAGATTTGTGTATTTCAGAAAAGACTAACCCTATGGTAGATTCTATGGGAACTGCAGTGGTTGAAGGAAACAAGAGACAGTCAAAACAAACAGCAGATAGCATCAAAGACAAAATATTTGGGAAAACATACAAGAGAGAGAGGAAGTCAAATCCCAATATTATCTCAAGAGACATTTTACCTACTGCAAAAAAGGAAGATGTGGCTGCTGATGAGAAGTGCTTGAATAATTCCAGTAAAGACAGACTAAAACGAAAAAGTAAGACTGCCCGTGTCCTGCAACCTGAGGATTTAATCAAGAAAAAAGATATAGAGGGGGCAGATGGGTGTCCTCAAGGTGTTAACTGGTGCCTTGGAGAAGCTGAAAAGAAAAGATGTGATGAAAGTTCTGCTGTTAATGAGGGTCAGCTCTCTGAGAATAGAAAGGATAATATACTAGCAGAACTTGAGGAAGGAGGAGGATCCATATGGAAAAAAGCTACTGAAAAGGCGACTGGCAAGCACTGTGATGGAGAACTAGAACCAAATAGCTGTGATCAGAAAAGCACTAAAAAAAGAGGTTGTGCAGCAAAAAGATGCAGGCGTTCCACTAGAACCATGTGTGCTCTGCAGTTAGTAGTAGATAGAAACTCTGTTTCCCCTGATCCAGCTGAGCCACAGATTGATAGCTATCCAAGCAGTGAAGAACCAAAGAAAGTTGATTCTGAGCAAAGACAAGTCAGGCGCAGCAGGAGGATTCAGTTACTTTCTGAAGAAATTACAAAAGAAATGGGAAAAGGAGGAGCAGTTAAGAGAGTAAGAAAGCATGACAGTGATCATGAAGGGTCTTTCTCTGGAGTCCAAAGGAATCTGTTAGTTCACACCTCTGAATGCAAAGACCCACGTGAGCCCCAGGGTACGTTGAGTCACAAACCACTCACTAACCTGAAGGGTGGTGATCTGGAAGCAAATGAAATACAGATTAATCTAAAGAATTCATCTGACACTGCAGAAACTGGAAAAAGTCTCCCCAATCCTACATCTTTGCGTAAGCATTCAAATTGTAGTTCCTTTGCAGCTGATGCAGGTTCTCAAGAAGGTGAAATACTAGGTAGCCCTTTCCTCCCACAGTCTCCTTCAATGGCTGTTGTGCAAACTGGTTCCCACCTGACTGAAGAGATGACTGGAGCATGTACTGCTTTTCCCCAGGATAATGGACATGATACACAAAACATTCCAGGGGACTTCAGAACTGAGGAGTTGCCAGTGGCTAAAAATGTTCCAGAATTGACCAAGGAAGCTGAAGATAGTGAGTTAGACACACAGTATCTGCGAAATATATTTAGGCATTCAAAACGCTTATCATTCAGCCTTTACCCTACTCCCATGAAGGCATGTTCAGTAGAAGATGCTGCTTCTGAAACTTTAAAAATATCGTGTGTGGATCAGGTAGAAAATAAGCATAGCAAATATTTAAAAACTGACAACTTACAAGAAGAGAAAACAACTGCGGAAAGCTTGAGTATGGTTTGCGAGAAAGAGAAGCTTGAGACCTATGAATCTGCTTGTGTCAGTCCTGAGCCTCACTTTGTTGTCAGCGCTGAATGTACACACCCAGGAGAACATGAAGAAGATGCTTCACAGGTTGAAAATCAGGGGAATCTGAGGCCAATAAGAATGGGCGCTGCTAGGACTGAAGACAAAAACAGATCGCAAAAAGGAGAGCAGGGCAATGGAAAGAGAGTGTCAGCTGATATAGGGATAGAAAGCACATTGACACAGAATCCAGTCAAAGGTAGTAGAAGCCAAAGTGACCAGAGGAATACAGAAGAGCACATTTTCGAAAGAGCCAATTTAAACACAGTCAGTGATGAAATATGTTTCAGTTCAGAAAGCGATCAAGCAGGAAGGGCTGAAGTTGCTGATGGCAAAGGACCAATATTACATTTTCAGTCCAGGTCAATGATTTGTCCTGCAACTTGTCAGAAAAGGCCTGCTGAATTTAGCTGTGAAGTCATTGGGCAAAAAAGTAGCAAAAGAGGAAGAAAACAAGTGAAGGGGAATGAAGAACAAGCAACTCAAACTGCTAGCACAGGGATACCCGAGTGTTTAGTTGCAGAGGCTCCAGAAGAACCTCTTAAAGGGGATAGTGATTTTACAGGTTTGTCTGAAACCCCTGATGGCTTACTGTGCTCTGATGATGATATTGAAGAGAACACTAGCTTTTCTGAAACTGATAGAAGAGAGAGATCTGCTGTGTTTGTAAAAAGAAGTGACAATGCCTTGGCTGAAGAAGTAAACAATAGAAATGTTAGTTCTCAGCCAAGATCTCAAGGTATTCAAAGATCTCGAAGAAAAGCACGGAAACTGCGTTCTTCAGATGAAGAATCTAGTGAGGATGAAGATTTACCATGTTTTCAGGCAATAATATTTGGCAAATCAGTAAGCACACCTTTGCAGATCAATAAACAAGTGACACCTGTGGTAGGGTCTTCAGTAAGTCCCATCACATTGCCTCACAGGGGAAGTCACGATGACAATAGTAGGCAGAAAGTGCCTGAAGCTGCGCTAAGTAGTGGGTGTGTTTCACCAAGCCAGGAGTCGGAATGCTCCATCAACTTATTTTCTTCCCAGTCCAACTTGTCTGAAGAATCAGTTGACGGAGCACGAGCACTAAAGAAACCTTTAATGAAACTTCATACATCCAAAGAAGTGAGCAATGTGAATGAGAGTGAAGAAGCTTTTCAAAGTAGTAATGGAGGGTTGAAGAGAAGCAAAACTAACTTCAAAGATGAATGCCAAGAAGACCCAAACATGGGAGCAAACCCAGGTACAAACCAAGATTCGTACCTCTGCAGCTGTGTTTGTAGTGTCATTGCACCTAGGTTTTTGGTGTTTGCATGGGAACTTGTTCTGTATTTGGGTGGTGCTTGCTCTTTTAAAGGAATGTATCAGGGCTAAACAATCAAATGATAAAGCCTCAGTGGTTTATTTCCTGAAAATTAAGTTCTCCCAGTATTCTTTGTTCAGAGCAAAAATGAAGAGTGGGCACTAGAGGCCGGACTGAGTCTGTCTGATGGGAGTTAATTTTTGAGTGAAACACCAGCGTTTGTACTGCAGTGTGATATTTGCATCTATCAGCAAAATTTAATAAAGCCTACTTAGGCTGTATCCCCAGATGAAATGTTTATTGAAATTGGCGATAGAATTCCATAGTGCTTCTTTTGACCTCTTTGTGGCTTTCATAAATATTTAGCACTCTTTCATCACTATTGAAACATTTTGAATTCTGTTTACTTTGCGGTATGTGTGACATGGTATTCTTCAAAATGTTCACCTGGAGTAGATGTGTTCTTCTAACTTAAGTGCTTCCAAAACTTGTCACTTTACCATTATAGTTAGCAGTTGCGCAAAAGGTCTGCGTGGTAAGAGATTAGGGACAATGTTTGTTTTTGTTTCCTTTAACTAACTCAGATTTTCTTCCACCTTTTTCAAGGTGAAGCATCTGGATATGACAGTGAAACAAGTATTGTAGAAGATTCGTGTGGACCATTCTCTCAGGGTGAAATCCTTACTACACAGGTAAGTGAGTTTATGCACTAACTTCTAAAAGCAGCTTGCGTTCTAGGATATAAGCGAGTATATGAAGGCTGTGGAGTCAGCACTGACTTGATAGAGACGAGGATATGTCTGGGTTGAATGGAGTAGTGGCAGGACGGATGGGTGGGGAGTATTTTGGTTTGTTGTGTGGTTTGGGTTTTCTGTTTGGTTGGGGGTCTTGTATTGATTCAGTAACAAGGAAGCTCCACATGGTGCCAGTGCTAGAGCTACAAATGCAGTATTCAGTGCTGTGGAAACTGCTGTATCCTGTATGATGAAGGTTTTAGGTTTTTAAAATGATCCTTTGAAGCCGTGAGCTCTTACGAGGAGGTGTAAATGGCATGTTTTTAACGGGGTATTGTAAGTTTTGAGAGAGAAAGTAAGAAAGAATAGGATGAAGTATTTTATTAAATAAATTTCAAATATGCTTTTGGGCTTTCAGTAATGGTGGAAAGTTCACAGGCTCGGTGCTTGATGTTCATTATTAGATTTTTAAATTAAGTGGCTAATGTAAACTAATGCAGTCCGGGAAAAATGACCTTTAAAGAAATCTGCAGAGGTTCTTATTTTTTTCCTGACAGATTAAACTTTGAGCTGTCTGAACGGAAATTATTTGAGTAGCAAAATGACGGTGTGGTAGGTTTGTTTTGGCGGGGTTTTTTTGCTTTTGACGTAGTATGTATACGTTATTTGTTACAGTAAAAGCACCACAGTCACCTTTTGAACACACGGTAAAAACTAATTTTGCTGTTTCTAATTTTCAAGTGTTTGTCAAATAAATTAATCTTACTGTTTAAAATTGAGTTTGCTAATGTTGGCACAATTGTGTATCCTTTGCAGCAGAAGAATGCTATGCAAAATAACCTAAAAAAACTTCAGCAAGAAATGGCTGTACTTGAAGCAGCGCTAAAGCAGCATGGAAGTCAGGAATCTGAATTTTTACCTATCCATAGGAAACTGCCACGTTCCAGTAGCAAAGGAACACTTGGAATGGAACAAATGCAACAAGAAAGAGGTAAATAGCAATAAAAAGTTTTTCCAGCTTTTTTACAAACAGTTGTGTGACTGTTACTAGTTCTTTTTTCCCTCTATGACAAATTATAGTGTTAATTTAAAATTTATACGTTAGCAGAATTTTGCCTAAATTCAGCTGTTCAGTGAGACACACATTTTATTTATAACCTGGGTACTACACTCACAGCATAGATACTATTACACCAGGTAATCTCACACAGATCTGTAACAGGAGGTGCTTTTTTTTTTTCCTTTTGAAAAGACAAAACCTGTGCAGGAAGCAGTGCAAGAATTCGGTCAGTGTCAGCTTGAAGCAGGTAACATTTAAGAGAGATCCAACACATTTTGATTTCTGCTTTTTTTTCCCTGCTTTTTTCATACCAGCAAGGTACAACTTTTTCTTGTAAATCAAGGATTTAAATTTATGTATTCCTGGTCAATTTAAAAAGATGTTACTTCTTGTTTGGTTGGTTTTGTTTGTTAGCCCAACTGTATAGCTGCCCGTCAGGATGGCGTTGGACAACATTTTGACAGTAATGGGAGTTATTACGTGTCTCACATATAAATTGGTACTTTTGGACAGATATGCTACTGAAAGTTTCACACGTATTCTAGTGTCTCAGCTATAGATCAGGAAAAAGTAATGATAGAGTCCAAGGTGAAGTAATAAACAAGTAAGGAGAGGAAGTGACTGCAGTATTTAAATTTAGAAGGTAGAGCAACGGCCTTCCACCTTGACTACAAGAAGAATGAAACTGTTCCAAGGAGTAATTTCTCTTTTCCTTCAGAAATCGCAGATGAGCAGAAATCTGGAACCAGGCTAAATAGTGCATCTGTCTTATCAAATCTTTCTGGAAATGTGACCAGGAGTCCAAATAACTCTTCCTCCTCTGTAAGGCTTCTTAACCCCCGAACGGCAGAACCAACAAATGGTTCTGTTGTAGCTCAGGATGCTAATGAAAGCTGTACTCAAGAACGTAAATCGAAGAGGAGTGTGTGTTTTCCTTTGTCTGCTCTGCACAATGCAGCTGGGAAAGAAAATGCTGCAAGTCCAGTTGTGACTAACAGGAAGGAAATGTCAATTGTGGCATCAGGTCTGAATCAAAGTGAGCATGTAAGTATATTCCAGAAGTTTTAGCCATCACTTGTTAAATATTCCTGATTACCCCTGTAGTCCTCAACACAGAGAGATCTAAGAGTAACTGGAATTAATCTTGCAGCAATTGCAGATCAGTAATACAGCAACTCAAACTTTTTCACTCCTAAAAATATGAAGAATGCTGCCTGTAAACGGCACTCTGAAGCTTAGTGAAGTTTGAACTTTTAAAATGACTGCCTGCTGTCTAGGAGAAAAACACATTATTCCAAAGCAAGGGGACTTTCTTTCTAGAAAGCCCTGGGGGTTGGACGGGAGGGGGCAGTTTGGTTCATTGTTTCCCTTAATGTTCTCAGATGCTGCTTCTTTTCCCAAGTTCTGATCCATAGTGAGGATTTCTGAAATGTAATCAATTCTGTATTTCTGTGATCCATTTCCAGGGCGATATGCCTTTTGGTTTATCAACTTCTGACTGAGAGCTCTTTACTTTAGCTTGTTGAATGGCGCCAAAATTATTGACTTTAAGGAAATGTATATTCTGTGTGCCAACACAAATAAAACCATTACTTTAAAGTGACTGTCTGATGTTATACTCCTATAAACAGGAGTTGTTGGTTTTATCAATGTTTTTCTAGCTATTAATTTTCTTACCCACTTTTCAGTTGGTGGTCCAGAAGTTTGCAAGAAAAACTCGGAGTACTTTATCTAATCACATTACTGAAGGAACAACCCACGTCATAATGAAAACAGGTTTGTTGGGAGCTATGTGAACAAATCCTGTATTTACACACTGTATAGGATTTAAACTCTAGGCTAACCAGCAAGTAGACAGTTCATCAATAAATTTGAATAAGTTCCAGGAAAAGGTATTGTTTTCTTCTCTATCATAATTTTTTTGTTTAAGCTTGGGAATCTTTCTTATTCAGTTTCACAGAATCAGAGTGAGGGTATGTTTTATTTCCTTGTGTGATTTGAAGTTAATGCTACCTAATGTTTGTTTGGGTTTTTTTCTCCAGCTGTTTGGTCACAATTTTCAAGTGTTTACAGCATGTTAACATGAAGTAGTTCAGAACCAACCAATAAGAAAGAAAGATCGTTTCCAAAGAAATGGGATATAGACGTTCTGGAAATAAGTTGCTATTTTGGTTTCCTAATTCCTTGGAGGGATTATAAATACTGTTTCATTCTAAATTTTTGCAAGAAACTTATCTTTAATAGAAAACTGGAAGTGGGATTCAACTATGTGTAGCTGATGGTAGTTGATAGTGTAACTGTTCTTCCATAGGAACAAAACAGCAGTACCATTTATAGTAACTATTATTCGTGTGCTTCATTAAGGTATTTAAATTAGGTTTTGCTCTTTGGTAGAGCTCAGAATCTCATTATTAAAAGCTTAAAGGAACTTTGTGGAAACATCAGTACAATGCTACAGTTTCAAATTTGACACATGTATCTGAACCAGGGAGCAATACGTTAACTCCGGAAAAGCATTCATCAGTAAAATTGAGTTAATGCATTGCTGTGTCTAGGCATGGGTTATATCTAAGCTCTCTGCTGAGCCTAGCACCTAGCGTTTAACTAACGTTTTCTTAAACAAAAATATTTTGAGCCAAATCTGGGTGTGGGTGTGCTACATGCTGTGCTTGCATTTTGCTTTGTAGAAGCACTTTTATCTGGCTTATATTGGGATACAGTCTATACCATAAGCCTTTCTTGCTTTTGAAAACCAAAGGAGCCAGAAAATCTTGTTATTCCAAATATATGGACTCAATTTTGCCTTTGTCTTCAGGAATTGTAACGTAGACCCCATGACCATATGGTTTTGGAGAGGTAGATTGTTCTGTCCTTACACAAACACACATGATAAACTGCCTTCTGAAGGTGTGCCTGTTCTGGTGGAGTGGAAAATCTCAGATGGCTAGTCATCTGAAAGTTTATGTGCTAACCCTAGGCACCGAATCCTACTGTTAGTGTCCTCTGTCTTGACTAGTATTCCTGCTTTTTCTTGCCTCTTCTCTCTCCTGAATAACTAAAAAAGAGTTCAGAAGTTGTACATGTGATTAGTTTCTGCTCAATTCCTTCAGTTTAGTAGAATCAGAACCTTTCTATAGATGGTCTTGATATTTTGCTGCTGTGCTTAGCAAAAAACTTGCCTGCTTTTAGGTACAAATAACCTGAGCTGTTTTTTTTCACTAATGGCAAAACTGAAATAGATCTTATTTTTGTTTGTTCTGCAGATAAGGAGCTGGTGTGTGAACGGACACTGAAGTACTTTCTGGGTATTGCAGGAAGAAAATGGGTAGTTAGTTATCAGTGTGAGTATAACTTGTTTTGGAGCTAAAAGGTCTCTGACCTTCTACCACAAATATACTCTTCCCTTGTTCCAGTTTAAAAAAAAAAAAAAATCTTCATGTCTTGGCATCTGATGTTTTGCAGAGTTTCTTCTAATTTTTTTTAAAATAAATAAACCCCAAACAGCAACATCAAGCTTCTTTCTCTTCTGAATACTTTTCAGCTTTCAAATAACCACATTGGATTGCTCCCCACCCTGACAAAGGCCTTTCTTTCCTCTTAATTTAAATCTTTGCGAGGCATGGAATTAGTGCAAAATTAATATTATTTGTAAAACGTAAAAAAATTCTCTAAGCTCTTTCAGTGTATTCAGTTTCTCATAGTACAAATACATTCCATTTAATATAGTGGTGAGGTCAGGATACTGGCAGTGGAAGAACAGTTTTGCCTGATAAAATGACTTGTCATGGTCTATCTTTTTATTTAGGGATCATTCAGTCTTTTAAAGAAGGAAGGATACTGGATGAGGTAGGTCTATTTTAAGAGTGAAACGTCAAATGTGTAAGCAATGCTGTTAGATTGGACCTATTAGTAGCCTCAGATATAGTCTAATCATTTAATATGTGGAAATTTGGCTCTGAAAACTGGGATTCTAGTTTTACAAAATGCTAGGAGCAAAAGCCACACGTAGACTATATGTATTAATTATTATTAAAGACGTAATGCATCCCTGTTATTTTTTGGAACAGGTTACAGGCATCGTTTTTAATAAGTGTTCCTAATGATATTGATGGATTACAGCGTAGAGGAAAGGACCTGTTGTTTGCTTAAGGAAATAATGTTGGAACATAGCTATGTATATAGCTTTGCTTTGTTTTTAAACTTTAGAATAGCCAACTACTGAAAACTTGTTCCAGCCTTTACTGCCTTTCCTAGTAGAAGTGGCTTGTTTGATGTGACCCTCATTTAGGTGGATTTTTGTGTTCCTGGGTAGGTTTGGATTTTCATTCTCTAGTACAGATCTTTGGAGAATGTCTCATTAGTGACCCAGTATGGATTTCATATATCCAATGAGCAGAAATGCCCACTTTCTGGTATGAAATCCATATGCCCTTTTGTCATTGTGAAGAAGAAAAATCTAAGCCCCAAAAAGGCCCTCGGAGCGGGTATTAAAGGCCCTCCTGTTCTTGGGGTAAAAGGGAAAATTTGCTACAGAATTGGTTGGGAATGCTAGAATATGGGACAGCTGTTAACACTGTCATACACGCTCACATGGCTTTAAGCAAGGAGAAGATCTTCCAATTATAATGAAAACTAAATTTTTTTTTTGAGTTAACTGAAAATATGCAGCTGTTATTCATACTCTTGCAGCAAGCTAGACTGCATGAAAGTTGTGGAGAAGTTTCAATAAAGTATTGGAGAAATGGGAGTTTGAGTCAGATGTAGGCCTGAAATTATCAGATGCAGCACTGTATTTGTTATTAGTCTGTATGCTAAGTGGATACAGATCTAGAGGTTAGGTACTGATAATTAATTTCTGTCAAATGAGACTTTACTGATAAGTTAACTGTAGTCTTGGAGTGTGCCCCTGCTATACAGTTTGACTATAATTGTTTCGTTTAAAATTGTCTGATGCTGCAGGAGTTTCACTACTGCTCTCCATCATTTTTCTTGAAAAGCCTTTTAATTAATTAATGTCCTGCACACTCTTGATTGTGAGGTTTCCAGTTCTGAAATCTGACAGCTTCTTCCTGTTCTGATGCAGAACTCTGACTAGGAAAGTGTTCTCAGTCTCTAACTTATGATTGCTTGTTTATGTTATGTTCCAGGAGAACTTTGAAGTTAGAGGAGATGTAATCAATGGGAGAAACCACCAAGGTCCTAAGAGGGCTAGGCAGTCTCTGACTGAAAAGGTAGGAGCCCATCAGGGATGAAAACCCTGTCCTGCTGTGACTGTTTCAGATATGTGGCTATACTAGCTGAATATCTGGAATATTTCTAATTTATCTGCTGTTCTGTAATAGAGAGTTGTACACAGGGAGCTCTGCCAGCCACAGAGCAGATCTGCTCAAGTGACTCCCTATGCTTTGAGTGAATGCTATCTTTTTATAGCATCAGTATAGGAGAGCAAAAGGTTGGGGGCTTTTGATGATATTCTTTTGTTTTTTATGTTGCAAAGAGCTTTAGATATACTTTGTGAAACAGTGACAGCTTGATCACTAGTCCCAGAAGTGCAATGAAACCAGCATATTAAGTATCGTCCTTGAAAGACTCCCCATGTACTCTGTTAATATGTTCCTTGTTTTTTCAGATCTTTAAAGACTTTGAGATCTGTTGCTATGGACCTTTCACTGATATGACTACAGGTGTGTCATTTTAGTGGAATTAAATGAACTTTTAGCATAAAAAGTATTTGGAAGGGGATCATGTGGATTCACCAGAGTTTTACATTTGACCTCTTCTTGGACACTCTTGTACCTTCTACTCTGAAACTTTCGGAATACCTACGTGAGGTGTAGTGTAGGTAAAGAATATTATCCAGCTCTATCTCCAGATGGAATGGAAACAGTGTGCTGTTCTGTTTGGATGTCCTCAGAACCGCTATGGCAATTTTGCTGTATTTCAAAACAGGCCTTTTATCAGTTTGTCTCTGATTCTCTAGCAATGAAGGAAAAGCATTGATATCACAGTGTCTGGTAATAGCTTTAGATGCTATTGAGCACTTGGATTTAAGCATTTTTTTCTTCTGTCTTAGTAAACAGCTCCTAAGTATAGTTTTTCTAGCAGTCATCCTCAGTGTAATCTCTCTGGCAGCAGATGTTAAAAGTGAAACACACAACAAAGACAGAAGTGTATATGCAAAGAAAAAGCTGGTAGGATAGCTTCTTTTTGTTAGTTTGAAATTGAATAAAGTAGATGTTTTGAAAACTTAAGCTAGAATTTTTCTACTTAAAATATTTGTACCTCTCTTCCCATTTTTGAGGCTTATTTAGCAGGTGCTTTCCAATTTGTCCATTATAACTTTATTTTTGACTGTGTGGAATATACTTGCGTCTCTTGACATTTACAGTAATTACTACAAAGGATGCAGTGCTCTCACCTGCTGCAGTGATCATCAATTATGGCTCTTATACTTGAGAGACTTACTTATCTTCTTCACTGTCAATGCAACAAATTGCTGGAAATTAAATACTTTGGCTACTTTTGTTAGAGATAATCAGAGTTCTGGTTTTTAATTTTAATTTTATGTCTTGCATCCTTATGATAAGAGGAAATATTGTTAGTGACTTTCTCTTTAAGTTTTGGTCACGTGGTGTTTTGCTTTTCCAGGGTTTTTTTGTTTTGCTTAGTCCTGACTAGATGGTGAGGGAAGAGAGAGTGTTGATGCTCCTCAGCAGGCTAGAAAGTGAAAGGATTTATTATCGACTAAAGCTTACATTTCTTTCAGATTCTGATAGTTTGTCTTGGAGCAAACACATGAGAATAGTATCAGTTTTAATGTGATATAAAACATTGACGTAATGGACTGTTTATCCGATCTCTTCAGAACATCTGGAATGGATGGTGGAGCTTTGTGGAGCCTCTGTAGTGAAGCAGCTTCATCTGTTCACGCACACAACAGTACGTGTTAATGAACGTTACCCTTCATATAGTGAATCGTCTATGGTTTCGTAACACACAACACGTTGAAACATTACATGGCCTTCATGAGCTTGTAGAAGACTGATTCTTGCAGGTGTGTTAGAGAGAACTGTCTGCACAGTCATGGTGCCAAACGGCATGGCAACAGTCCTTGTATTCTAGGCTCTGGCCACTCTATCAGAAGACAGGCTAATTTCTAGTGGAAAATGAGTCAGAGTACTCTCTGGATGCCTGCAGGGCAGATAGCTCCTCTCTCTTGAAATCAGCACTGAGCCTCACTTTCCGGCACAAAAAGCCTTTAGTGCCTTGATAGCATTCCTGGAGAAAAACTGCAGAAAAGTCTTGAACTAATGTCTTTCTCCCCCTACTACCACTTCTTAAAGTCCTCTCTGAAGGAGAGTTATTGAAGCAGAGTTAGCCCAGTTATCGCTCTCTGCAGGTGGGTGTGAGAGTGATTTAATGACAGGCAGATAACAGTAGCATTTTTATTTTCTTCTCTTGAAATCCTAGAATTCTACTGCTGTTGTGGTTGTGCAGCCAGATGCTTGGATGGAAAACATGGATTATAGAGGTAAAGCGACACACTGTTGTGGACTCTTTTATGGTACACATTGAGTGTCTCTATCACCTCAGTCCTCTTAATGGTTAAATATCAGAGGTTTGTAGAGGAATCAAAATCCTACTGCATCTGGAGATGGAGGTATGTCTTGGAAGAAAAATCTGGAAGGACCAGGTATATTATCTCAAGAATCAGCAACAGGTTCTTAAAAGATAGTCTGGCAGGCAAATCCTAGTCTTGCCTCAGTTCTGCATATCCTCAACTTTACAATAACTTTTTTTGATTGGAGATAGATAGTTTCTAAAAGGTGGGGAAGCACACCCCTGGAGGACTAGTAAGATCTAGGAGAAATCCTCAGATGGGACAAGATCCTCTTGGTCTAGAAAGAATATCTATCTACAAAGTGCTAACTGATATATCTTTGCTTTTTTTTTAATCAAAATACTACAGAAAAACCATGAGACTTGGAAAGTGCAAGTGTTCCAGACTTATTTTTAAATTAGATAATTGGAGTTATGGGATGAATGGGAGCTAGCTAGACTACAGTTGAGTTCAACAAAAAAATGGAGCAGGAGGATGATGCAACAGCTGTTTCCATGGCACTGTGAAAATGAGAAAATAAAGAAAAAGATCCTGAAATGGTGAAGGACAGTCTGGAAGCACTTCAGTAATTTTCTGTTGCTTCTCTCTTAATGAGACTCATTGCTTGTCACATACTCTGTGTGCCTGAGCAGACAGAAACTGAGGCTCTGTCAGTGAGGTCCTAAATTGAAAGATAACAAGGACTGCACGCTTTGCTGTTAGTGTTTATTCTGTGGTGTCCAAAACCTCTGCCTGGCCATTTGCCAAACAGCAATTCTTTTTGGAGCTGCAGTATTACCTGCATTGTTAAAAGAAACAGTAGTGCCCTCACTGGTTTTAGACTCTTGTTTCTTATCAAGGCCTTTAAAATGTCAACAGTGAAGCAAATAGCTTAATCTGAAAGACATCAGTAAGCTTACCTTAAGTCTGCTTTGCTTCATTGATAACAGTTTTATTGTTTGTGTCTTTGTTTTACAGCAATCCAGCAAAAGAACAACGTTGCCATGGTGACTCGAGAGTGGGTATTAGACAGTGTTGCTTGCTATGAATGCCAGGCGTTTGATACTTACCTTGTGTCCTAAGGGTGATCTGCGGTTCCTTTTCCATTGCTCAGAAATTCTTATCAGTGCTGATAGTTTGGTAATTAAGGACTGAGAATTTTTATGTCATTTATGCAGAGATTATGTGTGCGTAGTGTTCTTGTTCAGAATAAAATAACTACATTTTCATTAACAATAGAGTCACTTAAACAATATCACTATATAAAGATGGAATTACCCACTGTTCTTTAAATATTAACATTGCTAATTTCAAAATAATCCTTTAAATTAAAGTAAAACAAATTTTTAAAGTTAGAAAATGTAGAACATGACCTCAGAGAAATGGTGACGTATTATTTACCATTGCAGCCAGTTCCTGATTATATACCTGAGGACATTTTGGAGACAGTAATTTAAAAGAGTAATATTGGGCTCAAGGCTTGAATTAAAACATATTTGCACTCCTAAGTAACCTCCATATTTTCATTTTGCATAAATACATACCCTGAATATTATTTTGTGATTACTAATGCATCAGCCTGGTTAATGTAGGCTGTGGATTATAATTGTGTTGGAAACTATACGAACAGCTCTCCCGTTGTGTATAAAAGCGGCAACGTGCCCTAATCAGGAAAAGCATCCACAGGTACATCCCCTGAAGAGCCAACACTTGATGCTTAATGTAAACCAATCCTTAAAACCACAAGCCTGTACCAGTGCTGTGTCAGTCTTGTTTCTGAGCAGTGTGTATGGCACTGGTGAGGAGACAATAAAGAGATGCACCTCGTGTCCCAGTGGCCGATAATGAGCTCTGCAAGACTCTGCTTCTAATAGTCCCTGCCTGCAAAATAAGAGTGCAAAGAAAATAAATTGCTTTTTATGGGAGAAAATATGTTGATTGTTTCTGTTGCCAAGCAATTCAACCATGAGTAATTTGGTACTTTCAGAGCAGAAAGAGAACCTGTTTTCATAAAGTTGTTTAAAAAAAAAGTGTAGCTAAGAGAGTTGTTTGGTGCTCAGATGCTGCTAGGTTGTCTTGGAAAGTTATAGAAAGTATGTTTATTATTTTGGCAAATATTTTACTTAATTGTTTATCTCTTCTTATGTGAATCAGTCACTCAGTCTCTGCATTGAGGCATATATGAAAAAATATCTGAAGTCTAGCCTCCTGGACGGGGGGGAGTGTAATGTAAACTACACAATGTAAAAATGTAAATTAGAATTTCAGAACCAGAATCAGAATTGTAATTTCCATCTGCCTGAGAAGTAAATGTGTTATCAAGTATCTTGCAGTTTTACCAAGTGGAGGCACATGTCGTCTAACTAGGCACGGCTATTATTATTCTTTTCACAGAGTCACAGAAGGGTTTGGGTGGGAAGGGTCCTTAAAGCCCCCCCAGTGCCACCCCCTGCCATGGGCTGGGCCACCTCCCACTAGCCCAGGGTGCCCAAAGCCTCATCCAGCCTGGCCTTGACCCCCTCCAGGGATGGGGCATCCACAGCTTCTCTGGGCAACCTGGGCCACTGCCTCACCCCCCGCACAGTGAAGAATTTCCTCCTATTCTCTATCCCAAATCTGCCCTCCTCCAGCTTAAATCCACTGCCCCGGGTCTTGTCACTACAGGGTTACTCCAAGCCTCTATTTGTGCTTGGGATTGCCTCGACCGCAGGATTCCTCTGTTTGTTCTCCAGCATTGGGGTTAGCCGGGCCTTTGGAGCTGCAGTGCAAGTCCTGGAGCATCCTTTGGAAGCACTGCACCCTTTGTGAGGTGCACGCCAGCCCTGGCCTGGGTGGAGTGCCTCTTCTGGGCGCAAGAGAGGGTGGCGAAGCCAACGGGCCGAGGCTCCCTGGAGCAGGAGCGTGGCCAGCAGTTGGTGCGAAGGAGCTAGGGACAAGTAGGAGCTTGTCCAGTTTCCAGTCTTGCCTCTGGCGGAAAGAAGGTCCTCAGAGGCAGGGCAAGGCAGCGTGCTAGCAGCCTGGGAGAGCTGCAGCTGATGGGATGATCCTGTGGACCTTCCACTGTTTGCTTCATAGCTGGAGCTATTGTGGAGGCTGCAGACAAGCACGGGGGAGAGGTTTGTGGACTGTAGGGGGCAATGAAGCATCAAAGTAAAAATATTACTCAATAGTTAAGAGCCCTTTGTGTTTGGCAATATTGAGTTTTGATGTAGGACTCTTCTGCTTCTCAAATGGAGTTTCTGGTCCTTAAGAGAAAAAAGCAGCAGACCTTCTCCTTGCTGCACCAGCCACCTCCTGCGTAAGGGGGTGAGGCTGAACCACGTTGTCACCAATCTTTTCCCCTCCTTGGTCCCATTCCTTGCTCAGAACTCTTTAGCAGGCGAGAGCGTGGGGCCGCCACAGCTGCTGCCGCTATTGGAAACACCTGCAGGTGGGCAGGGTGCAGACTGGGGTGCTGGTGGAGTCCAGCTCCAAATCCCAGCTCGGTTTGCTCAGCCTGGAGAAGGCTAAAGCAGTAGGGGGTGGGGTATGATTGAGAATCCCCTTTAACACGGCTGCCAAATTGTCATGTTTTATTGCAGCCTGACGTCAGGATGGTGCCAGCAAGCTGCTTCTTCCACCTCTGACTCTTCATCCTGGTTTGTAGAGTCCTCTGCGCACCGGGTAATGGGTGGCGGCGGCTCTTTTCCAGGGAGCTCCTGGGTTGTCTCAGGAGTATACACCCAGGAAACCCTGCGCAAAGGCAGACCCGAGGGCAGGCAGGGCTCTGAGAAGCTGCTTGGCAGCGGGTCCCTCTTCCCCGGGTGACCGCA